AACATTATCTGTGATGTACATAAATCAACTAAATCTACAAATTTTAAAGCATGTAAATGAATAAACAATTTGTTTGTTGGTTCGTAATAATCAACCCTTTTAACAATCCTAATTGCTTTCTTTTGTAACATATATATTGAATTTATATATGTTTTATAAGCATGACCCCACACCTCCACACAATAAGTAATGTATGGAACTATGAGTGCACAATACAATATACTGTATATAAAGTTTTTTCATTCAAAATATGTTTTATTCTATTTAATATTGCAATGGATTTGGATATTTTTGTTTTTACATGGTTAATATGTGGTTTCCAACATAATTTATGATCAATTATAACATCCAAAAATTTATTTTCATACACTCTTTCTATTTCCTCATTGTTAATCCTTAATTTAATTTTGTTGTTACTTTGTCGATTACTAAATATTATAAACTTAGTTTTACTTAAATTCAGTGAAAGTCTATTATCATCAAACCATTTTTTGAAAACCATGAGTTCGATTTCCACTGTATTCAGAAGTTGTTCCAAGTTTTTCCCCGAACAATATAAATTTGTATCATCAGCAAACAAAACCATTTTTAATACTTTAGACACTTTACAAATATCATTTATGTACAGTACAAACAATTTGGGGCCTAACACCGAACCTTGCGGAACACCACAAGCAACTTTTATTACATCTGATTTAACATTATTTATTTGTACAAATGGATATCTGTCATTGAGGTAACTTTTTATCCAAGCAAAGGCTTTTCCTCTTATACCATATCTCTCCAGTTTCATTATTAATAAACCATAATCAATAGTGTCAAACGCTTTTTTTTAAATCTAGGAACACCCCCACAGTATATTAATTATTATCCATTGAAGAAGAAATCTCTTCTACCAGTTCCATCACAGCCATTGAGGTCGACCTGTTTGTTCTAAAGCCATACTGATGATCACTTATTAATTTGTGTTTGTCTATAAAATTATCAAGCCTGCGCACAAATATTTTCTCTAGAATTTTTGAGAACTGGGAAAGAAGAGAAATTGGTCTATAGTTGGAAAGAAGATGCCGATCTCCACTTTTAAAAATAGGAATAACTTTCGCTGTTTTCATATTACTTAGGGAATATGCCTGTTAAAAAAGGACAGATTACAAATGTGTGTAAATGGTTTTACTATATATTCTATAATATTTTTTATTAACGACATGTCAATGTCATTACAATCAGTGGAATATTTGTTCTTACAATTATTAACATGTAAGTACACAACCCCTGTAGATGATTGGCTCAGCTCTCTCCTCTCTCCGTTGTTAGCATGCAGAGATTCTGATTGGTGTGTCATCAGTTTTGCTACCTAATGTTTAACTTACTCATTGTTAAACATTTTGAAAAATGTGTCTTTGTTTTGAAAACCGAATTAATGGTTTGGGGAAAATAGTGCCAACTAAAATAATCAGTTATATTATCAATCGAGAAAACTGCAATACGACTAGATTCTTACCTAACTCTGCTATTAGTTTCCGTGATCGGCATCTTATTGATTTCATGTTATTGTCACGGCTTATATCCATGATGAAAGTGGAGCGAGCGGTCGGAGAATCGGATCACCAAACAATTACGCGATGAATCTCAGACATATCCGCACGTGATTAGATTTCTCAGAGGACTTCTGAGTTACCTGAAAAGCAGTAATTATCTGACTCACGAACAAATATAAAAACAATTCGTTAGTGAACTGGGCCGCGCTTTGTGGATTTGACTCAAAAGATCCGGTTCATAAGAGTCATTTGTTAATGAAGCCGACTACATTGGCACTCTGCGTGCGCGTGCAACCATCGTGCAGTTTATTAAAAGACTGTTTTTGCCATTATTTTGCGTTACTCTGTCATCGCCGCGGCTGAAAAGTACCACATGAAACACTGCTTACATTTATATTTTATTCTATGATAATTCTGGGGTGGCACAGCTTTTTCTTAGGGTGGCAGTTGCCACACCGGTAGATCCGCCCCTACTCAAAATTAGATGAAAGATACACACAACCTTGTCCTTTACCGTGCACACGCCGTGGATTTGATCTGACGGTGTTAAAATAAATGTTCACTTGTAGCAATCTTTAGTCTGTAAATAATGTTTAGTGCCTTTACTCTTTGTATACGTTGTTTTTACGCCACTAAACTATTGTACAACTCCAATTTCATTCAAAATATGAAAGGAGAAAACACAAGCACTGGTCGCTCGTGGAGGAACACAGACACTGAACAGAGCGAGTTGAGTCTACACGGTTCTCATGCTGTGGTTAAATGCGCAGCGCCGCCCAGTAGGGATGGGCGATACCTCTTATTTTTCGATACGATACCGATATTTTTCAAGGCAGTATCGTTGATATCGATACCGATTCGATACTTCTGCACTAAACTTTTAAATTATGAAATTTATGAAATTATTAAATTACTAAGAGTAAAATGGGTAATGAAAACAACTTAACTTTATGTTTAAAACGCATTTTAACCCTAAATAAAATGCACCTTAGTATCAATATTTTTTGTTTGAGTATCGATACTTTCGATACTCGCGTCAGTATCGATATATCGATACTTTGTATCGATATGCCCGTCCCTACCGCCCAGCAGCGGCTCATTGTTGATCATCAGTCAGTTTGTGTTTGAGTCCAGATCCGATCAGAGAGATCATGGCAGAAACCGCTCCAGCAGCTGCCGCGACCAAAGCGGCCAAGAAGAAAGCAGCGGCTAAACGCAAGACAACGGGCCCAAGCGTCAGCGAGCTCATCGTTAAGGCTGTGTCCGCATCTAAGGAGAGGAGCGGTGTGTCCCTCGCCGCCCTGAAGAAAGCGCTCGCTGCCGGTGGCTACGATGTGGAGAAGAAGCCCGCAGCGAAGAAACCTGCCGCCGCTAAGAAGCCCAAGACCGCAGCAGCGAAGAAGCCCGCCGCTAAGAAATCTCAGAAGAAGGCCAAGAAACCCGCTGCTAAAAAGGCAGCAAAGAGCCCCAAGAAAGCAAAGAAACCAGTGACTCCTAAGAAAGCAGCAAAGAGCCTTAAAAAGACCAAGGCAGCCAAACCCAAGACGGCGAAACCCAAAGCCGCGAAGCCTAAGAAGACAGCAGCCAAAATGAAATAAACTCAGTCATTTTTTACATGTGTTTTATCAAAACGGCTCGTTTAAGAGCCATCCATTAATTCAAAGTGAGAGCATTATTTCTGTTCAGTGTCGCGTAATGTTGCATTTGGACGTTATTGATATGAGAATTAATGTTCTGCTTCAAGTCAGACATTTATCTTGAACACTTTATTATGCTTAAAACTAATTAAATAAATAATAGGTGAGACAGGTTGATGTAACATTTAATACACAAAGGTAATTGAAAGTGTTTTACATAAAGTCAAAAAATGTATATAAGTAAAAATAAAGGAATACATAGAAAAATAAATAAAGGTAAACAAAAAAAAAGCTCGTAAACATGGTTAACATTGTGCTTGAGGGTCAGTAGCAGAAAGAGGGTGGGGTTTGAAGTTCGGAGGGAAGTTCACTGATTGGCTTGGAACGTATTCAGACTCCAGCCAATAGGAGACTGGCTTTCTTTTAAAAGTAACGTCGCAGCTCTCTGTATCATTCATTCTTTGAGCTGTGTTGTAACAGTTGTTAGCACAATGAGTGGAAGAGGCAAAACTGGAGGAAAAGCCCGCGCTAAAGCCAAGACTCGCTCCTCCAGAGCAGGGCTGCAGTTTCCCGTCGGTCGTGTTCACAGACTTCTCCGTAAAGGCAACTATGCTGAGCGCGTTGGTGCCGGTGCTCCGGTTTATTTGGCCGCTGTGCTCGAGTACCTCACTGCTGAGATCCTGGAGCTGGCTGGAAACGCCGCTCGGGACAACAAGAAGTCCCGTATCATCCCCCGTCACCTGCAGCTGGCGGTGCGCAACGACGAGGAGCTGAACAAGCTTTTTGGTGGCGTGACCATCGCTCAGGGCGGCGTGCTGCCCAACATTCAGGCCGTGCTGCTGCCCAAGAAAACCGAGAAACCCGCCAAGACCAAATAAACTGAGTGAAGTTTATTCTCAAACCAAAGGCTCTTTTAAGAGCCACACATTTTCTTCATGTGAGAGCGATTTTTCATTCAGTTGGTATAGATCATAATATAAACCCAGTTTCAAATTAATTTATTTTATTTACATTTAAAACAAGTTCTTATAAAAGTGACATTTTATTTAAAATTCCGTATAGTTCTCTTCAATGATGGTTTTATTTCTCTAGTTTTGTGAAAATGTGGTCCTTGAACAATTTTAAAGTAATTTTAGCATGCCATATTGCATTTAAATTCTGCAGTACTATAGTTATAATAATAATTTATGCAGACGCTTTTATCCAAAGCGTCTTACAGCGCATTCAGGCTATAATTTTTTTTTTTTTTTTACCAGTATGTTAATAATTTAATGTGTGTATTAATAAAAAAAAAAATCACAATCTGGCATACAAATTTAAGACCGACTTCGCCTATTCTGTTTTCATACAAAAGTGAACAAGAATGCAGGACATTTAGGCGGGAACCAGAACCTGTCGTTTCTTGTTTGAAAACCGGAGACGCACATTCATTGGTCAACTGTCATTTTGAGGCCCTAGACAATAACCAATCAAAAACCATTGACTCTACGCCGTCCAATGAGCGCATGGCAGCTGTAGACTTAAAAGAAGCGTTGAGTTCTAGTGAGAAACTTTCTCGTAATAATGACAGCCTAATCCACAAAAAAAAAAAAGACTTACTCGACGCATGCGCAACGCAAGAGTGACAGCACGCTAGCGACATCTGTTGGTCAAAGCCATGCAGGAACACCGCAAACATTGCTTTGTTCTGTAATCTAAAGTGTATAACGCTATAGTCTGTCATTAAATAACGATTTCAGATAAATTATCTGTATGTAGTCTTTTGTGTAATAGTTACTCTGCCAGATAGTTATGGCTTCAAACATTCCAGACCAATATTTCAGTTAAGAAATCCAGGCATTTTATGAAGAAATGAAAAATGAACATCTATTTATTAAGTTTATATGTGTAATGGCTTTCATTTCTTCATAAAATGCGTGTGATTTTTGTTGGAATATATTCTTCTAGATATCTGAAGCCATGATCATTGTCTGGCAGAGTGACTTGTTGGTAAGTGCTACAAATTAACAAAAGACTACATACAGATAATCTATCTGAAATCGTTATTAAATGATAGAATATACTCTTTAGATTACGGAACAAAGCAATGTTTGCGGTGTGCCTGCATGGCTTTGACCAACAGATGTCGCTAGCGTGCTGTCACTCTTGCGTTGCGCATGCGTCGAGTAAGTCAACCAAGCAAACCGCCCGTAAATCCACCGGAGGTAAAGCCCCGAGGAAGCAGCTCGCTACTAAAGCCGCTCGTAAAAGCGCACCCGCTACCGGTGGCGTTAAGAAGCCTCATCGTTACAGGCCCGGAACCGTAGCTTTGAGAGAGATCCGCCGTTATCAGAAATCCACTGAACTACTGATTCGCAAACTGCCCTTTCAGCGTCTGGTGAGAGAAATCGCTCAGGATTTCAAGACGGACCTGCGCTTCCAGAGCTCCGCTGTCATGGCCCTGCAGGAGGCCAGCGAGGCTTATTTGGTCGGTCTGTTTGAGGACACCAACCTGTGCGCCATCCACGCCAAGAGAGTCACCATCATGCCCAAAGACATCCAGCTGGCCCGCCGCATCCGCGGAGAGCGCGCTTAAATCTCTAATTACATCAACCATACAAACCCCAAAGGCTCTTTTAAGAGCCGCTTTAATATCACCATGAAAGATGATTTCCATTGGTTTACGGTAAATGTATGTATAAAGAGTGTTTATTAACTCACTTGGGTGTGTTTAAGTCTAGACCGTTACAGTTTAATTTGGCTTTAATTGCATGTCAATCTGTGTACTAAAACAATCAATGTAATAGATATGCAATGCGCATAATGAGAGGAAATGTTCTACAGCTAAAAAATAAAATAAAATAAATGAAAACAGCTCTCAGTTCATAGTTTAGCAGAGAAGTACAGGCTGTATGTATTCAATCTACACGCACTGCTTTTATATGGAGAAAACCTTGCCTGGTACTGTGTTGGAGGAGCCCCTGGCCTGTGGAAGCTGTCCTTAAACATTCCTCTTCTGCTATCTTATGACATTCCTTACTACAAATAAAAAAAAGCCTTTGAATAAGCTTGAACACTTGTGTATATGCTTCTTTTTTTTTTCATGTGGCCGTATAACGTTATATTCCTGAGCGAGGGGCGAAAAGGCTGAGGCTTTCTAGATTATTCGACAATTAATCTAAAAGCTGTCAAAATGTTTGTTCGGTCCTGCTAACGGAAATGGATATGCTCGAATTCGTGTTAAGAAATATCTTTTTTTTTTTTTATAAACTTATTGAAATTAATTTCCGGATTCAAGCATTTGGAAGACCTAGATTTGGATGACGTTTAGTACCGCCCATGATTGTGGTTTCAACTAGGTCCTGTAAGCAAGCATAAAAGCTTCGCCTCTAAGTTATCTCTCGTGCATCTGTTATTGTTGTCAATAGAAGGTTGTAGTTGAGATGTCTGGAAGAGGAAAAGGCGGTAAAGGACTCGGTAAAGGAGGCGCTAAGCGCCACCGAAAGGTTCTCCGGGATAACATCCAGGGCATCACTAAACCCGCTATTCGTCGTCTGGCGCGCCGCGGCGGCGTCAAGCGTATCTCTGGTCTGATCTATGAGGAGACGCGCGGTGTGCTGAAGGTGTTTCTGGAGAACGTGATTCGAGATGCTGTGACCTACACTGAGCACGCTAAAAGAAAGACCGTCACCGCCATGGATGTGGTTTATGCTCTGAAGCGACAGGGACGCACTCTGTACGGATTCGGAGGTTAAAAGATTCCTGGAGAAAACACAACCCCAACGGCTCTTTTAAGAGCCACCCATGATTTCATATAAAGAACAAGTTTCTAATTTGTGAAACCACCGCTTTAAATCGTTCTGAATGAATGTGTTGTGTTTTACTTTTTTAATTGATCGTTTTGAAATGCAGTGGAGGACTGGTCATCTGAAACGCCGTCTGAGCAATGCGGGCTGGCCCGTTACATGCCTAAATAAGGAATTATAGTAGATTTGTGTAATTCTGTCAGACCAAGCAAACGCCCATTTCATTTAAATGGAAACAACTCTACAATATTATTCTAATTGCATTTATTGAAAACATGTATTTGAAAGCGGACTTTGTGACAGTATTGTGTTGTATGTTTTTAAGTTAGTAAGTGGTGTTAAAAAATGGTATTTGCAAAGTATTTGGTGTTGTATTGTGGATCGGGTAATTTACTGTTAGTCCCAATAACCCTCCTGTTAAAATGCTACAGTAGCGGAATCTGCAGCGTCCGTGGTTATTGAACAGTTACTTTCTTGTGTGCGTCTTATGCACGTTTTTGAATGCAATTACAACGAACCACGAAACTGTTCGCAATATTTCACATATTATATCCCGGAAAATGCTGGACAATTAAACAAAGACACAGAATCGAATGGGGGATGGTAGTTGACATACGTAAGGCGATGGGCGGGATTTACATTTAAAAGAAACTGATTGGCTGTACTGCGGATCAAAGAAAGTAATGTGGCCAATGAAATCATTCTGTGGGTTGGTCCATGGATATACGCAATCACAGACCGGCATTTTCCCTTTTTAAATTAGCATAGGGCAGTGCATAAACACCCGTTTGTTCTACCGAAATCTATTCAACGCTAAGTGTTTCTGAGAAAAGCATCATGCCTGAACCAGCAAAGTCCGCGCCTAAAAAGGGCTCCAAGAAGGCCATCACTAAGACCGCAGCGAAGGGAGGAAAGAAGCGCAGAAAGTCCAGGAAGGAGAGCTACGCTATCTACGTGTACAAAGTGCTGAAGCAGGTTCATCCTGACACCGGAATCTCCTCCAAGGCGATGGGGATCATGAACTCTTTCGTTAACGACATCTTCGAGCGCATCGCCGGTGAGTCGTCTCGTCTCGCTCACTACAACAAGCGCTCCACCATCACTTCCCGAGAGATCCAGACCGCCGTGCGTCTGCTGCTGCCCGGAGAGCTGGCCAAACACGCCGTGTCTGAGGG